CCCGAGGCGAGAGGCAGAGGTGGGCGGGTACCAGGCCGCCGACGAGGTGGCTGACGAGCTCGCGGGAGACGCGGCCCCCCCGCGAACCGCCCTGTCAGACGAACGTTCGTAGAGCCCCAGTCGTCGAAAACGAATCGGGAACCAACGCAATGTTTCGAAACTCCGCCCGGATTTAATTGGTTTGTGCTGGGCCTCTTTGGCGGCGCCAGCCCTGGCGCGCCCCGCGCGCGCCACGGGGAGGGGGTTCAGCACAGATCCAACAAATCTGCGCAGAGCTCCGCATGCTTATGTTTATGGGGCTGTGTTTTCTGACTCCTGGCGCCCGCATGTGGTAACTTTTGACGCGTCCCGTATCCCCACCTGCGGATCTGAAGTTTAGATGCGATTACCGGGCAGGTTTTCATGAGGAAGGAGGCGGATCAGTGATGGTGAGTGAAACAACGAGAGGCGATTGGTCAAACCAAGGGCGGGATGAACCCGAGCAGGCCTGAATAACAGCCCATTTGGGTATCCTCTCGGACTCTAGGAACCATCTTAATGCTTTTGTGGGGCTCTGTGGGGATGGGGGGTCCCCAGGTGAGACGCGATCAGGCTCCCCTCTGCAGCCCGAAGCCCTCTTGGGACTCTCTTAGGTTGCGGGGCTGCTGGGCTATCTCAGGGCCTTTCTGGGCCCCTCCTGCGGCTCTCGTGGGCCATCTTGATTCCAGAGGCTGATCGAAAGAGACAGGGCGGTAGGGCAGAGCAGCACAGGGAACATAACATTTCTCCCTCCAGGCGGTACGCTCGGGAAGTCTGAGTGGCCACTGCGTGCCGCCTAGGGCCCGCGTGCCAGAGCAAAGGGCCAGGCGGGGGCGGCCTGTCAAGCAGGGGAAGGTCCGTTGTTGTTAGAAAACGTTGGGGGCGTTCGTTTGGTTCTGCAAACGTAGAAAACAATACTGGGGCTATGTCAAACACATTCGGGGCGTTTCGGATGTAGGCCAACCGAAACGGACAAAACCGGCAGCCCCAAGACAAAACACACAACAGTAGTATGTACCGCAAACGGCGCGAGCGAGAATCCCCGAACGGAAGAATTTGCCAAAACGGATAACGAACGTCGATTATGAATCCGGGAACAAAATTCTAGACGCTTCGCGTATCCCCACCAGCCCCCTGGGTTGCAGCTTGCACGACCGCCTGACCTCTCAGACGCCCTGGGTTGCTGCTTGCCCCGCCGCCTGATCCGCGGCCCCCCGCGCGCGCCCGGGTAATTCGTCACGGCCGCAGCCCGACCGTGACCCCTCGCCGCCGGCGCTTCCGCCTGCGGCTGTTAAAAAAAGTATCCCCACCAGCCCGTCCAGAAACGACGCCCAGGCGAGTAGAGGGTCGTCCTGAGGGGCTTTTCGGCGTCTTGGGTGCCTCGGGGGGGCCTCTGTGGGCCGTTCGGGATCCTCTTTGGGGCCTCCTGGGGGCCTCTTGGGGCCTCTTGGGGCCATCTTGGGGCCTTTGGGGGGCCTCCTGGGCGCTTCTTGGGGCCTCCTGGGCGCTTCTTCGGTGCCTCTGGGGGGTCTCTTGGGGCCTCTCGGGGGTCTCTTGGGGGCCTCCTGGGGGCCTCTTGGGGGCCCCCTCAGGAGCCACGATCCTCGTGAAGGGTGTCGAATTTTAGCCTCCCAGGGGTCGATCTTGGGCGCTCCAGCGCGCCGCGGAACCCCCTGTCCAGGTCAGTGGGGAGGGGGTAGGGGGAGGGGTAAACCCCTCCCCGAAGGGGAAGGAGGGGTGGAAGAGGAAACACTCTAAACCACCGACGCCCAGAGGGCTGGTGGGATTCTCCAGCTTTTCTAGTATCGTGGTTTGTGCTTGCACGTGAAGGAAGTCAAGAGGGGTTTTCATTATGTCGCCCCTTTGGCTCCGCTCCTTCTTGCATCGCATAGCTTCTCTGGTCCAGAGTCGATGGACGGGCGCCATCCCTGAGGGGCGGCCGCGCCGCTGGCCTGGGTGGTAGTGGCGCTGGGGGCCGCGGCCTACGTTGGGGCAGAGGAGGGCCCGACGCGGGCGGCCTGCCCTGACCCTCGTGCCCGGCCTGTCCTGCGTGTCCAGAGGCGGCGGCTGGCCCAGAGGCCGCGGCCTGCCCGGCTTGCGAGCCGCCTCCCCGCGCGGCTTGCCCGGCCTGCGAGCCGCCGCCGGGTGCGACCCGCCCGGCCTGCGAGGCGGCCGGCGGCGACGCCGGGCGAGAGGGCGGCTAGGAGGCTCGCTGGGGCGCTGCCCGGAGGCCTGGTGCACTGGCTGGTGGGAGTTCCCGGTCGCAGGCATGACGACGCTCGTGTGGTGGCTCCTCAGCGTCGTGGGGCGGAGGTGGTGGACTAGAGCGCTCCCAGTGGAGCCTGGGGTCTGCCGATTCGCCGGCGACGACGTCGATGACGTATGGGTGCTGCTGCACTACGTGGCAGAGGGCGGACGGGTCATCCTGTCCCCAGAGGTTGACATCTACGTGGAGGACATGAGCTGCGGCGGGGCCGAGACCAGGCCTGCCCGACCCATCCCGCTGGCGCAGCGGATGGGCAGGATGCGGAGGCTGTATCGCTTCGAGGAGGCGCTGGGGCCTGAGAATCGGGCCAAGACGCTGGCGCGGGGCCGTCAGGCGGCGCTGGAGGTAGAGGCGGCGCCCCTTGAGCCGAGGGAGGCCGGGGCCGTGCGCGGCCAGCGGGTCTCGTGGCAGGAGGGCGCTGGCAGGCGGCTGGCCGCGGAGCGGAGGGGCTTGCTGTACCTGAGCATGGCCGTGGCTCGCCTGGCGGGGACGCCGCTGGAGGCTCCTGCTGGGGGTGACGCCTGGGTCGGCCGCAGTGGCGTGCCCGACGATGTGATCGGGGCGGAGGTCGACGTGGCGAAGAGTGGAGGCCTGAGCTTCGAGGGCGGGCCTGAGGCGTTCGGTGTGCTGAGGTCCGCCGACGGTGGCACGGGGCGACTCGGCCGGCTGGGCGCGGGGTCGGACGCTGGGCGCCTGGCAGAGGAGGAGGCTTTCAGGCATGACCTATGCAGGAGCCAGGCGCGTGCCAAGGGCCCCGAGCGCCGACGCACTGCGGCCGCGGCGCCGCTCGAGGATGAGGAGCCCGCCGGGCTCCTACGCGGCACGGCTATGCCAGAGCTGGCGCAGCCGCTGCTGGCGGGGCCGCAGGGCGAGCAACGTGACGCCCTCGCCCGCACGCTCTGGGTCTTCCACGACGAGCAGGGCGGACGGGACAGACGATGGCGAGACGTGGTAGGCGAGTCGAGGCAGGGGCGCCGCCCAGACGCACGGGTGGGCAGACCGCCGGGGGCTCTCCACACGCGCGAGCACATGGTGAGGCACGGAGGCGACCTGCGGCTCGAGCCCGACCTCGCCGTATGCGTGAGGGGCCGTGGGGAGAATGACTGGGTGGTGCAGAAGCTGAGGACGATCGTCGTGGAGGCCTGGGACCAGGGCTTATTACGTGTCCAGCTGAACATGAGCGGCCTGATGATGGTGGGGAAGATGACTCACCGCGGGTCCGCCACGCTGGAGGCCTACGGAGACCTGCTCAAGCCGAGCTGGACGAACGCGGACATCTTCGCGGACGTGAGCTCGGAGAAGGACGTCTCAGGGTCAGAGCTCAGGGGCTGCATCCACCAGGGGGCGCAGAAGACGTACGAGGTGGAGCAGGCGCAGAATCGGGCAGGTACGCTACGCGGGGTGCCTACTAGGACCGTCGGCGGAGCAGGAGGAGCTGGAGGCGACGCAGCAGGTGCGGGGCGTGGTGGCGGCCGAGGCGGCCGCGGGCGCGGCCGGGCCAGGGGCGTCGCCTCCGCGGGGCCATGGCGGCCCCCGGGCCCGGGGGGGCCAGCCCCTCCCCCGGGCCTTTTTTGCCGGGGCACGACGGCGGCCGCCTGCCGCCCTCGCGTGGGGCCCGCAGCTTCCTGCCGCTCCCGCTGCTGGGCGACGCTGGCCGCCGAATTCGCGGCAGGTCTTGCAGGGCGAGGCAGTTCGGCCGTGAGAATCGGATTGCGGCGGAGGTCAACGGTATCGTCGATGTCGTTAACTGGATGTCGGGGTACGACTCGCTTCCTGGCCCAGCCAATGACATGCAGCGGGATGTACTTGCGCGCTTCGAGGGCCTCGTTCGGGGCCGGCAGCCGGACGCCAAGTTGCAGGATCCGCAGGCGGCCCTCCGGGAGCTGCTGCGGGGCCGCTCGCCATACGACGGGCGCAGTGGCCCGACGACGGTCGCCTCCTACAGTGCAGGGCTCGTCAGCATGCCGATGGACGTGAGCGACTGCCCGCGTCTAGAGGACCTCTTGCCTGGCGAGGCCCTTACTTTCCTGCAGGAGCGCCATGAGCGCATGTTGCGAGAATCACCCTTGCCGACTGACGTCGAGCCATACTTCGACTCGGTCCTCAAGTTCAACCACAAGGAGTACCGCGGCCTGGTGCGCCGGCTGCTGTCGGCTGGCATTCTGGGATGGACTCTAACACCGAAAGAGAGAATTGGGATGTTTTTCGCGTGGAAGGATGGGCGGCGCCGACTTCGCCTCATAGTCGACGCCCGCCGTACGAACGCCCACTTCAAGGACCCTCCTGGGGTGGAGCTTTTGAGCAGCGAGGGCCTTGCCAGACTCGAGGTGCACGTGCCAGACGCGGGCTTCTCGAACTACGAGGACCTCCGCGCCGCGCCGGAGGCGCAGCAGGTGTACATCGGCATGGCGGACGTGAAGGACTGCTTTCATAGGGTGCGTATTGATTCGGCCCTCTCGCAATACTTCTGCCTGCCGCCGGTCAAGGCTGGGGCTTTCGGCGTGACCGAGGTCGAGGGGACCGAGGTGCAGACGTCGACGGCCATCTACCCTTGCTGGCAGGTGCTGCCCATGGGCTTAGGAGGAGTCGGCTTGCAGGGGGGGGCGGGCGCGGGGGGGGCGCCAACGACCGCGCCGATCCCATCGCGGCCCGCTGCCCCTTCCCGGGACTCTCAGGAATCCTCCGGGCCCAGTCGGCCTCGCAGTCGGCGCTGGCGCCGTCGCCCGCGAGCGCCAGCCGGCGGGCGGGCCGACCTTGTTGCGCATGTTTGGCGCGAGAGGC